GATGTTGCTGTAAATTAATGTCACCTCTGAAAGGTTGAAAGGTTGGCAGTGATTGCTTAAAACTAGATCATGTAAACGATACTACTAGAGGTGATTAGGATCTGATTTTTGGATGTAATCTAGATGTTAATTGGCGTAGAAGTCCTGTTCTGATTTCGTTTCTCTTACGAGAAGAATGTTTTCGCTTATAATTTAAGCGAATTTTTTTTATAGGGATGAAATTAAGGAAAAATTTTGCATTCAATTACAAAAATTTATGGTTTAAAAATAAATTTTAGGTAAGTCGAATTGATAATATCGAAAAGAAAATCGACTTTTGAATTCTTAATAAAGTCCTTAAAAAAAGACAGTTGTATAAAAGATTAAGGCAATATAATTTGTTTTATTAATTCTAAACGATATAAATGTCCTACTAAATAAAAATCATCGGTTAATTAGATCCTATAAAACTTTAATTACCTCTCTTAATATCTAATTAATTCCTAGTTTTATCATCAAAAGATCATAAAATCATTTCTAGAATAAAACTTGGAGAATATTCATCATTCGCTTCATAATTTTTCAGCTTTATGTCATCACATATACCTGTCATTGAGTTTTGAAGACCCTTCTATCTGCAGACAGTCAATATACAGGAGACGAATTGGTTTAATCTTTTCGAGTAATATAAGCAAGCTTTTCTCCATTATAAGGGCGGAACTCAGTTATTCATCAAGTTCTAAGCTTTAATGAGTTTGGCTTGAGTGACATATCGATATTAATATAGCTTTTCTCCTCCTCTCGACAGTTGGCAAAAATGCCAAAAAATAGAAAAATCCAATAGACGATTGGCGAGCGCTAAACTTTTCTAATAGCTTGGATTTTATTTATTCCACGATTGTTATGTCCGAAATGGCAAATAAAGTCGACTACTGTCTTGGCAAATATTGATGTTAATGACGTTAATATAGACTACCTCTTCCTTCAAGTTAGTCTTGGACTACTGTGCACTTAATTGTCTAGATGATGGATAGTCGACAGCTAATGGAAGGTTGGCATAAAAGATAACACTAATTCCAACCGCATTAAGCCGCTTTTTTCAACAAGGATACATCATTTAGTAAGCATCACGCATTGATAGATTCCTTTTGAGTACAAAAGATTCGGCATTTAACTCCTATTCTAATTCAACAAGTTCGAAACAGTAGTTAAAACAGATTTTTAATAGAAACCAAATGAAATACTTCCTCCAGTTCTCCTATCTTTGACACATCTCACGGTTTATCGAGTACAAACAGAATGGTTAGATTCACTTTATTCGAGTCTCTTGTTTTATTAGTCGTTGCTATCGTAGATAGCAAAGTGTAGGTGATCATTAAATTCTCCGACTTGCCTGCCACATGTCTACTAATCCCGTCGGTTGCATCCCTTTGGTGATCCTAATGTGGTTCAGGTACTGTCCCGTGACATTGTGTGAACTGATGTAACCGTATATAATTTCGTCAGATATATATGAATCTGATGTGGCATTCTAACGGCACCGACTCGCTGGTGCATTAGTTAAATCATACAGAGTAAACTGGCACACGTTCGCGTGCAAAGTTTATATAAGATTCAAACCAGACTAAGGACACATACTATGTTTATTGGCATATAACTATAACTATAAAGTCTTTATGCTTATTCTTGTATTGTTGTTATGATGATTTGTTTTCAGTATTTGTAGTAAGATTTCTATCACAACTAAATTTGAATTTACTCAAAATTAGTATGTAAGCAACATATTAAGAATATATATAATCACCACTACAAGAATACACTAATTTTTATTTTTGAAATATATTTTAATGCGAATAAATTTATCATTGCAAAACGTTATAAAAAACATTGAAAATGTCTGCAAAAATTAGTAAAAAAATCTTGCAAAAAGTTCGGTTGGATTGGAGAGAAAGTAGGGCATTTTCTAAAATTTACGGGAGCTTTTTCGTCATCTTTAGCCCCTTGACCGCATCAATCGAAACTTCCGCATAAAAACCGATAACCTAAAAGCCTTGTTAATCATACAACACGCCCTTCCTTTTGTTTGGCAACATTACGACGTTTCTCGATTTATAAATTCAAACTTGTCAACATGTTAGCGATGTTTTATCCACCTTGGAGATACGGAATTGTGCGTGGGTGTTCCCTGCCATTGTTAGCTTGCCACGGTGAATTATAACAGGATTCGATAATGTAAGAGACATCTCTAGCATTGATCACTAGTTGGACCCAATGGCAACCTGGTAGGCATTCAAAAACAATTGGCCACACTTTGTTTCCGCCATATTTCCAGTAATCCGATACGGGAGGAGTAGATTTATCATTTCCCATTCGAATATTTTCATGGCAAATTTTATTTTCTTTATTAAAAAAGAGAGAATCCCCAGATTTTAAGCTAAGCTTTTGCTACCGAAAATTTATGCCATGCGGATTTTCTTCGAATCTCATTATTGTCCCGAGGGAACCATAGATCCACCTTGTTAATTACAATTAGTGAGGAAACGTTTTCGATGGATGTGGAAGCGCTTTTATGCCTCTAATGATATCCAACCGGGTGCATTGTAATGTGTAAACGCTCCAGAATTCTTAATGCGTGTTTTTAAACTTATTTACGATATGTGAAGTCTAGCGTAACGGATGAAGGTCTTCCACAAAAACACTAGACTCGTCGGGCAGGTGCTTTTATTTTGTTCGACCATTTGTTTAGCATTACTCGAGGGTGATTCTTTATTTCTCCCCACGAGGGTTTTTCACATAGAAGCTTTGGGTGTTGTCCGAGGCGTAGTCAAGGTTATTCTAAGATAGGTGCTTCAAAGTTCTTGAGTGGGAGAAGACCGCATCACCCCGTCATTTCCATCTGTCACGTCCAAAACGGACATAAACTAAAACATACCGATTAGAGTCTAATGTATTCTGCTGAAAAATACCAAGCAATTGTCTGTGTAGACGAGTGACAGGCCAACGTTTTAAAAAATGACTCTTAATTAGCTAAGAACCACCCCATGTGCGGTCATGTTAGAGAAATCAGGGTGGAGAATAAAAGGGGGTGGTATGTGATAGAACAGTAATTATCCACGTGCAAGGGGTAGGTGCCGTCCATACCCCACAAACCTTTGGGCTGTACCGGTTACTTTTGACTATATAGAACGTAATAAGTGGACACAGTGTTTGGTGTAGGCTAGTTAGCTACACACACCCTTTGATATTTATAAGCATTATTTTCCGCTCGGTATAATGAAGTTGAATTCTCCTTTTTAAGAATATTTTTATAATTAATGGAAGTAGCTAATCGTCTGTCTGAAAATTGTTTAGCATAATTATAGCATTTAACTCTAAGATATATTATAATTATAAAATTATGTGATTTGATATGTTGACAATATAGTTAGATGCATTTTCGATAGGCTGCGAATAAAATTCGATGTTGCAGAAACTTGATATTGCTTAACAAAAAGATAACATTTAAAATCCATTCTCGGAACAAGTTCTCCAACTGCGTCCTTGGATCTTCCATTTTAGTAACTTGTTCCGTTTCCTATAAAGTCGAAAAAGTTCACCCTTTGGGGACTCCACGCCCAGCTGTTCCTCAGCCTCAAAACAATTCACCTCTGGGACAAAGAAGACACTCAATCTTCTTCAAATATGCTGACACGGTCACTAGAGACAATGATTTTTTTCCCTCAATCTTCTAAATATTTTCAAAAGAATTTCTCTTACCATTTGTTTTATACCAGGAAATTTTAATGCGATTTATTAAAGCTGATAACGCAATCGTATTAAAAAGCTGTCGTCAAAAATAGTTATAAATTAGTCACGCATGATAGTCAATTTAAACTAAAACTGTTGTTAAGGTATTTGTATTCTGACCTCGACAAACAGCTGTCTTAACCGGATTTAGTTTTAAAGCAAAGGAACCATACTAGCGAGAAATTTATTCGTTTCTTAGAGCTACCACAACACCCTTACAGCAGGGAGTGCAAACCCCGCATAGTTTGAGGAAAAGACTGAAGAGGGCCTGGTACCAGATGGTCTCTGGTGGGTGGTGAACAGATAATAGCCCTGCCATCTCGACCCGGGGAGACTTTCACTACTTCAACTGATGTCTTTATTGCGTTGAGTCCCTTTAAATGCTCCCTTCTTCCTGCCCTGACTGGCTGATCCGACCTTCCAGCACCCCGAGGTTATATTCTCTAAATTAGGTCCATGTCCGGTGTTAAGACTTTCTTACCCTCAAGCCAATCACCGCATTGCCGGTATCTGACCGTCGATGGCAGACCGGTTCGTGTCTTTCTACCACTTCCAGCACGTTGCCAGCTTAGCAGAAGAGTGACCGTCGCTGCAGTTACGCCCCACTAGCACTTGCTCCTGTGCTACAATGTGCACTCGTTCTGTTTCCCATTAATATTAATCTGTTCTTGTTTCAACAGCGTCGGATGATATTTTATCTCTGATATCAGACAAGTGAAATACTACGTCTTTCGGTCAGGTAAACGTTCTTTCTTTAAATATTTCTCGTTATTTTCTTGATGCAGCGTGTTAACAGTAGATAAGTTATAAGAATGCAGCTAAAGCTTCTGACTGGTTGACATGTATATGTAAATCTGGTCGTGTTATGGCCGTTGGTTTGTATCAAAGGCAATTCTAAAGTCCTTAAAAAGTTCCCGAGCCATTGGTGTCTCACACGAATGAAGTTACTTCAACCTAAAACTGCCTTTACAGAAGGAAGAAAAACTCGTAATTTCAGTCCAGTCGTTCAAACTTTTTTACCGTTTCAGTTTTTCTCCTTAGTTCTACCTTCATTTTTATGAAGCGCGGTGAGAAAAGTTAGAAAAAATATTTTCCAACTTTTGCCTTTTAATTTTACGTATAAGGTTCAAACTCTAACATTATAAGTATATAAAAGTTGTTGACGGTTTTGTAAACTTATTTAATGTTTTATTGGAAATATTCTTGCCAAATTTGAATATCTTGAATATTTTCAGGTCTGAACGGTGGTTTCGGAACCCCAACTTCTTGGCGTTCCTCGGATACCCCAGACGATCAGTCCACTTCGATGTCACCCACCAGCTGTGCCACACCCTCCGACCCAGATGCAGACTTGACGTATACAATTGGAGTGACGGAAAGCACACCGTACGCCTGTCAATTCTGTGACAAGGCATTTCCACGTCTCAGTTACTTAAAACGTCATGAACAGGTAGGTGTGAGGGTTCTCGAGCGGGGGAGGAATTCGATGCCTTTGATTTCGCTTCGGGCATATAAGATCGCCTTATTACCTTATAAGGTCATCGAATTAATACAACTTAATTCCGAATTCAACCTTAGAATATTAATTATTATTACCTGACTGGACGAGAGGTATCGAATCCGGTGCCTGTTACTGGAGGACATCTCTTGCCACGTCAATCCTTCGAGATATTTAACTCGTCATCAAAATCTAACCATGGACGATGCAGGAGTGAATTAGTTCTAAGATTTAAAAGAATAGAGATCCTTTTAATATTGCAAATGAAGTTAAATATCTGGAAGCATTTACAGAAATGTTAATTTACTCGAGGATGTTATTCTTTGTATACTCACTAAAATATTCTGAAATTACTCGCTTTCCCGTGGAAATGCGTTATTCTTCTATTGTACGGTATAACGAAGCAACCCGAGAAAGCGATTCAGCCAGTAATGCTAGGCATAGATCATTAGATATGGAAATAAACCAATGTGTAGAATGAACCCTATAATTTGTCTGACTGCATTACGATAGAATAGAATATTCTATTAGGCATTTGTATTGGAATGTAAAACAGTTTTCAAGTGGCAAAACCATTTCAATTCTTACCTCATCCAGTTCATAGTCCTTCCTCCCTTTCTTTCTATAAATATTGAAATTTTCCTAAATATATGAAAATGTATTCGAAAAAATTCTCTAATAAAAACTTATAACAAGAAAATACTTTTTAAAGAGCACAAAACTTGTCTTCGTTATGTTGATACTTTGGATGGATCATGTTTGTTAACTACGGTAACAAAGGAAAAAGATTGGATTCTTATGAAATGTTTTTATTGAAACAGTAGTATTAAGTATGACAGGTTTATTACAAAACTGTTGGATGTTATTACATAATTAGCTTGTTTTTCTTGCTAGAAAGCATTATTTCTTTACTCGACTTTTAAATTAAACAATATACAGTAGAGCCTATGCAATCTATTAATACTTCACCTAATATACCCTTATATAATACATTAAATGAAGAACTTTCAGCATAAACCGACGTTGCAAAAATGTTTCACATTGTATAAGATAAGCGCTCTTACATTATCATCCCGATAATATTTAACAAAGTACAGTACATACGCATAAAACTAATCTCCGTAGCAAAATTTCTCTTTTAAAAAACAATTTAAAAGTAGTGATTTTTGATATTATACTTCACCATTTCTTTCGTGAAATTAACAAAAAATAAAAGTTTTCGTTAATTTCGGTAAATTTCTAACGAGTTTGCAATAATAAAAGTGTGAGTTGACGGTTTTAATTATCCCCAAACTACAAATCACGCATAGTAGTATTTAAAATAATATTTCTGCGAAAGAATTAGAGATGTAAATTCATAGAATCCTTGCTTTATTTCTAAGGAAAAGAACAAATCGATGTGGTGTTAGCTGGATGTTGTTATAAAAGCTTTTCATAATTGCTGTCTTTTATCTGCCAACTTCTCTAGATATCCTTTCTATCAATTGTCACCCATCTTTTCGATGTCATTCTTAACGTTTCTCTGCAATCTGTTTTTATGGCCTAGAAGAAAGATAAACTACCTTTAGCACTTCTACTGTCGGCAAGATCAGAGTGGAGTCTTGCACATGACTTCGGGAAGCTTGTTTCGAGCTATTTTTTAGCTGTTTACCACAGCAAACTTTTTTCTATTCTCTTATTCGCTTCATTGTCACGACCACCTGTCCTGTCCCTTGACAACTGTTCGGAAAACAACGCTCGAAAACATCGCTGCTATGCTTAGAATAAAACAGCGCCGAGAAATTACTTATGTGTGAATGTGATCGCCTTGGATGGAAAAAAAGGATGTGTTAATCAACATGTTAATTAAGGGGCAAGGTGTGGTACCCCATCATTAGGGAGAGCATTCACGTGCACTCCCCTTTCCTCCTCCATTGCTTTCTTGACAGTCGGTACGTGGGGATTCTACCGCCGACCCTAGCACATAGCTATTCTAATTACCCTTAAGTTATATCAGGATTTTCAGAACTTTCAAATCAGTTTTTCCATGTAATTGAAAGATAATTACACCTACGGTAGGCTAATTATTTTAACTGGAAGTTTATAAATTAATAGGTCTTTTTTCATATTTAAATTAAATTTAAATTAATAGTGATCGAACCGATCTTTATTATAATAATTTAGGCGACTTTATTCAATTTTACTCTCCGGAAGACAATATCCTTGAAAGCTTTATGGATAAATTAAGCGAAGAATGCGTATACGAGCAACGTCTCTTTGAAGAACTCATTAACAGTAAAACGGGAGAAGAGGAAATGCTTAATTTGCATAACCAATCCATTGTTCTCCCAACTCGATATTAACGATTTATTCTTCAGTTATTTGTTACATAAAGCAGGTTTCCCTGAATTTAAATCCCGCCCGAAAGAAAACAGCAATTAAAAGATGCAGATTGTCCGTTATAAAGGGTGTGGAGCCGGATTTTTCAAACGTCTAAATTGAAGAATACTCGGCGATGTCCTTATCGCGGCCAAAACAGTAGGGGCAATGACCAGGGAACAGCTAGGGAAGTCTGGACTCCGCTGGCACCCCAGCCACTAACCTAGCAGTCTTCATTAAAAGTAAGTCTCTTCTCGGGGGGTGGTTCGCTGCCTAGAGGCGAACGTGAGGGGTGTGGGGACAGTCCAACCCCTTGTTTTATGGACGACTCCTTTGCTCTGTGGGAGCCACTACTGCACTGCAAAATCAGTAATACAATAGGCAGCAGTGAATTTCTTTCCAACAGGGAATGTTGAACGTCGCCGCCACCTTCCATTCTGACCTGTAAATTGATTTTCTTGCTCAGCCATTTTATTTCGTTTTGACACAAAATGTTTACTAAATTGAAATTCGTGCCAGAATTAATCATCTCTAACTCTCCATTCTTTAATATTTGCATAACATTTATGAGCTTTTAATGAACAAAACATCGGTCTCGTAAGAAAGAATGCAAACATAAAAAACACGAGTGTTTCTTCACTAATTACAATAAATTTAAACTCTCGTGAAGTGGAGTATCATTAACATTTATAATCTAAACACAAAAAATTAATGTTTTATTAACAATAATAAAATCTAGTCCGAGTAAATATTTAATACGGGAGCATTACTCAGCTTTTTTGTTATTAAATTTTGTACTTTGAAATTTATTATTATTTTTTTTCATAATTATAAATCAAAATATATATATATAACTTGATGCTTTAACTAGACCCATATAAATTAAGAAGATAATTAGTAATCCGGTTAAATTGTATATGAATAATGAATTTCAGTAGCAATATTTTTTGGTACTTGTACAGTAGATTCTTTAATATTAAGTTCACGTCAGTTGATGGAGTTAACTGATGAGTACAGGCGTTATATTTTATTTCAAATTTTATAAAATATTTATGATTTTAAGAATAGATTAAACATAATTAATAATTTAATTAATTAAAATTAATTTTATATTCTTAAGGAGTGTTGAATTTGTGATTCGCTACCTAAACCGAATAATCAATCTTTAATGGAATGAATGTCGAAAATCGCTTACTTCGACTTAATTTAGATCTCTTGGGCAATACAAAATAAAGTTTTTTAGTATAAGGATAAATCGATGGTATAATGGTTTAATTTATTTTCGTTTTCCAACAGGTCCACAGCGACCAGATGCCTTTTAAGTGTGACTACTGTCAAAGACTGTTCAAACACAAAAGAAGTAGAGACCGACATGTCAAACTGCATACGGGTGACAGGAAGTACCGTTGTCCACATTGTGAATCGGCTTTCTCCCGCAGCGACCACCTCAAGATACACATGAAAACGCACGATAATGCTAAACCATTTCAGTGTACAGTCTGTAATCGCGGTTACAATACTGCTGCCGCTCTTACTTCCCATATGCAGAATCACAAGAGGGAACAACCTACGGATGGATCAAATTCGGCACAAACATTTCGATGCCTCCAATGTTCGCTCGTTTTTACCACTGCCAGGGATTTGCAGGTTAGTTCTTACAAGGAGTAACTTTTTCATTATCTTACTAACAACGTTATCGATAGCAGCTTACAACCGTTATCGATAGAAACAAAAATTTATATTTGGGATTTTTTCCTCTTTATCAAAAGAATATAAATGTTTAATTTGCGCTTAGTCGTAGGGAAAAATTGCATCGAGTTAATCATTCTGTTATTTACATTAATCAAAATAATCGAGTAATTTTTGGTGAATTGAAAAACAGAAAATTAGACTGAAACCTTGATAAAGAGAATGCAGGCAAATTTTATTGATTTTTCTAGTCGCTGTTGTCTCTACATGAGACAAGGACGAGACAAAGGATGTCGCCATATCAACAAAGGATTACGATAGATAAATCATTAGGCTGAACACAAATTGATGTATCGATAATTCAAAATCGGAAGCAACTCCAAACTCATAAACGCTTTTAGAGTTAGAAATTGAACATAAAGTAGAAAGTTAGTTAAGAGACTAGGAATAATACCGCAGTTATTTTTTTTCTATTTAGTCCAAAAAAAAAAAGACAGCTTATCGCCTATTATCTTATTGAATAAATGGCATCGCATATAATGATTAGGCTTCAGTAAGCTTTAAATCATTAATTGGATTTTATGAGTCGTATAAAAACTTAGAAAGGATTACCGTACTTGATTAGCACAGTTCCGTTCGGTTGGCAGAATTTTATTTTGTTCCAGGACGACACGAAGAATTAATTATAACACCAGTTAATACTCTCCATATTTACTTTATAATAAGCTTAATGTTCATAAATTATATTTTCATAACAGTCATAAATATTTTATCAGAGCAATTACATTGAAATAATTTACATAATTAAAAAGTTGGGAGATAAGACACTTCTTATTGTTTTATAGTTTGATTACTCAATTTAAACTTGGCCCAAAAAAGTACTGGAAAAGATTAAATGAATATTCCTAAATCATTAGTGCTAAAGTAAATATAGTCCGTTCTGTAAAAATTCTCCTCAAAGCTGTTTGAAGAAATCGCATTTTTAGACTCATTAGTGCTGTTATCTTAGATGAGTCGTATGTAAATCCTTAAGAAAGCCCTCCAGTTCTCGAGCGAGAAGTCCCGAAATACAATGGATCCATCCTGTATTTGTGTGGTAATATTCTTAGCCCGTAGCCAGAATAAACAATTAAAGTACACTTAAATCCACTAGATGGTGAAAAACAAACAGCGCAAGTACGTCTATGTATTTATAATGACATATGATCCCTTACGGCGAGCAAATAGCCCCCAAGGTAGATCTGAAGATAGCTATAACTAGTGCTATGTTAGAAGAATGTTTCGGACGTTTATACCTATTATGAACTTAGAAAAAGGTAGAAATGTTGAGAAAGTGATTAAGTGAAGTTTGAGATTTGCTAGTAAAAAGAACTTCAAATTAGCCCTGCAGCCATTAATCTGTTGGTTAAAGATAAATGAGGAGGTTTCGACCAAACTCAACCTCCGAAATTTATAAACGAAAAAATCAAATTATGAAAAAAAATGACGTCTTAATTTAAGAAAGGCGTATCCAAAGACTATAAAGTACAGAACGAAAAAGAAAGAATTCGGTGACTCCCAAAAATCACTTTTTGTATTTCTCTAGATAATATCTCTTATTTACCACGATAATAACAGGCCTACTATTTAAATGAAAGCCCCTGCAGAAGGATCATTTATTCTTTAAACATATTGGTTTAACATTAAACACTGGGTTTGAGAGCACTTGTAGAATTGAAGTTTAGTCTTTTGTGGTGGAGCAATGATCGATTAACTTCGTCGCTCTAGCACAATCATTTGTTATAATTCGGAAAGACATTCAGCTATCCGCAATTAAGATAGACTACACTTAATTCGATTTTCTCTCCAGAAATGAATAATAATTTAAATTAAAATTTTACAGTTAGAAATATTTAAATTTTCTTCTCGTTTCATCCAGACATTTTTTTTAAGTTCATTTCACGACTCGTTGGTCATATTCAATTATAAATGTATCTTCTAGACCATTTATGATGTTTGTCTTGACCTCGAACTCTTCTCTAATCTTATCCCGTTCACTACCTTATAAGTAGGATGTCGGCTATTTTAACATATCTGCATTATTAACTCCTTATCAACTGTCACTTATGATAGATGACAACCATTTCAGTCATGTAGTGAGAGAAACTAAACATACCGATGCAATAAATCTAAATAGTTTTATCTATAAATTTCTTATCAGTCATTATAAAAATTCAGTTTTTTTTCTGCTAACCTTAAAGTTTCACTTTACCTTTCCAGGCTTTTCAGCTCTACTTTAATCTTCTTTACCATTCCTGTAAACCTGTTTAATTTGCTTTATTATTCTAATTTGATAAAAGAGTTATTGATACGGAAATTTTACTGATTATCTTCTAGGAAAAAGCTGTTTCTCATTAAAAATTTATGTTGCGATTCTCCTATTTAAGATTAAAACTACTGTTTATATAGTATGATGTTAGAATATTGAATTAAGACTTAATTCTGTAGTCGAGGTTTGGTTAAACAAGCAATTTTTAAATTAATTTACTTTGACAACTTCATATCGAAAGAAATACGTTCGAATCTTAAGGAAAAAAATGGTTTTTTTTTAAAACTAGAATTTAAGAAAGTAATAGAGAATAAAATTGTAAATTAATTTTCTGACGCTTCTAAATTATGTATATTATTAAAAAAGTATTTAAAATGTGTATTTAAATAAAGAATTTAGAATCTTATTTAACGCTTTTTTTCATGATAGTCTGATAATGAAAAATAAAATATAGTATTTGATATAACTTTAAGCAGTGTCGGTAAGTTATAGTTTGTTTTTCAAAGGCCAAGCGTCAATCGGTAGTTTCTGCAAACATTTTATGAGAGAAATGCTCAACCTCACGCCTTTTCGAACATTGATAATAGGGAATGAAAAGAATGGGGAAAAATGGCAGCATTTAATGGATATCCACACGCAACTCGTTCTGAAAAGAGCGTCATGGATAGAGATGATAGTCGTCATCGTTTTGTTGTTGTAAGCAGAAAGAAAATATAGTGAGAGCAGAATATTACTGCTCACTTTATAGCTGCGAAGACCCATAGATGTTCTCTAATGACTTTCCGACATGCAATTTTCGTGCGACTGTGGCGCCAGCAACCCGATAGTGGGCCTTTTTTTTTCGTGGAGAGTTGTTCTTTCATCAGACGTCTCCCTTATGTCATTCGCTGAGGTGAAACGTGCGTGATGGGTGAGGCCGTAACTCACGAATCGTCACGAAGATGAGCTTCTGCAGCCTTCTTTATTTTAACATCTCAATTATATGGAACGAGTTGTAAAATCTTCCTTTCATTTAGATTGCCTCTAAGAATTTAAAATGTAGATTAATAACGAGTTGAGAAAGAATATTTATAGAATTTAAAGAATAAAATTTTCTATTTATTTGTTGCCTTAAGGGATATAAGAATTAGGTGTGAAGGAAAGGGGACCATCCCTCTTGGCATCCAATTTATCGCGGCTGCTGTATAATAAATTCCCTGATGTTTAATGAGGGTGGGGAATGTTGCTATACTGTCATCGATCTGTAATATCTCTCGGTACGTACAGCGTATCCCTGCCGTTCACCTATTGAACGATTTGTCGATGCTATAAATCTCCGATGTTCCAAGGTGGGGCTGCTCCTGCACTTCACACCTTACCGAATTGTCGCTAACCCTTAAGGGGATCGGATCCTTGTTTCGCTCAAAAACCCTAATTTGAAACATGTCCTAGTATCTGAAGATAAGTCTGCTGCATCATTTATCAGCCAGTGGGTAGAGCCCAGCACTTCAATAGATGTTGATAATCACTATACGCAGTAATGACAAACTGTCAGCCGATGTAAATTGTCATTGATAGATCCAGCCTCTATAAGTTGATCGGGTGGCTAAAGGTGTAGTTCATCAAAAACAATTAATATCCTTTCGTCCCACGCTCTGCCTTACAATGCGGCTGATTTATGTCTTTCTACAATAATCATGTGATAATGCAGATCTTGTAAAGAAGTAATTTTCTCCTCGTTTTAATAGGATGTAGGCTACGGAACTTATCTTTAAAGTATAATTGCATAGTTAGAAAACAGGCCAATTTAAATCCATTAATTTTCTTTTCTTTTTGAATATAATCGATTGTTGTATACGCAAACTTCAATCTACATTTTTTTTTTCCAGACTCATGTAGGAAGTCATGGAGATGGTAGCAGTTCCCCAGCTTTTCTGCCTCAACTAAGTCCCAGCCCGATCGTTCGTCACCAAGGAGAAGCAGTCGATGTTCAGGGAAAATGTAGCGTGTGCGAGGTGATCTTTCCTTCTCCGGAAGCCTTAACTCTTCATAAAAAGGTACACAGCTATTAAAATATGAAAGAATCACTATTTTCGAAATTTTAGTTTATTTAAAAGAGAATTATAACCACAGGAAAAATATTCTCGTAATGTTTACGCTTCTTTTCATTTACCATCATAATTAATATGGTAATAATTAATCATTTTTTCCCCTATAATGTACCTGTAGTAAATATGATCCATACAGACACATACATAAGCATAATTAATGATACATCAATGTGACCTCATGTCTGAATAGTCGACATCGCCGTAAGGTATTTGCCAATATTCTTCTGGGAGTATGTCTTGGTATTATAAATTTTTAATTTGAATAGAAAAACTATAATGAATAATTTAATTATTTAATTTAATTCGTGAATTTTAAAGAAGCAAGAGAGATTCGATCGCAATATAATTACTTGTTCTTCGTGTATAACCAGTCAAAATTTCGAAAACTAATACAACGAGATTAATAAAGCTGTATATATATTTTTAGTAAGTTAAATTATAAATGAATACGTTTTTATAACAGTTAAAATCTGTACTGCATCCTGGCCTTGAGCTGGACTCGGCATTCTCTGGATAAATTTTGTGCTGCACCTCTTCAGGTTGTGGAGAGGGTTATTATTAGTGAAGGTCGCATGTTAAACCTGCAGGTTATAATTGCGAAAGCTGCATTCAAACTGATAATAGACATTTATGATATTACAAAGAAAGAAATAGAATCATTAAAGTTAATTTGGACACCTTCAAAAATTGGTTCTATACTTAAAATATTTTCATTTTTTTATATGATAAATTTTAAAAATATTGTTCGAAATATTATTAACATAATATTGATCGAATTTTTAAAATAATTTTATACTATAAGATAACATATAATAATTCTGTGAGGAATAAAACATTTTAAAATTATTATTTTCTCTGTAGGTGCATGAAGATGTCGTTATGACAGATGTGAATGGTGTGAGAGAAGAATCGAATGCTTCCACGAAATTCGCTTGTGGGTTTTGTTCCCAGTGCGATTTCTCCAATCTCGAAAGCCTTCAACTGCACGTTCAAGCTTACCATGTTCCCATAACATCGTCTGGAGATACTCCAACTTCTCCATCTCAATTACCTTCAATCTTGTTGTCTCAACATCCACCGTCCTCTTCCGATTTCGATTGTGACTACTGCACTATGAAATTTGGAACTGTTCACGCTCTTCAAAAACATACGCTAACTATCCACAGCTTTTGTGACATCATTTCTAAGTGCAGAGAGAATGTTTACTGTTCACAATGTACTATGGGATTTACTAGTCCGTCTGCGTTACTCGATCATGTCAGATCTATGCACGAAAGAGATGCCAGTTCTGGCACTCCCATTTCTCAAGTAGGAAAGACGGAGAGTAACACAAAGACGGGAAAAAATAGAATGGTTATGCCTAAAACAGAACCTTCGACATACAACGGTACTACTAGCCACGAATTTCCATCTCCTCATACATTATTATGTAATCAGTGCAATGCAGCGTTTTCTGACTTCGAATCATTCAGAACTCATTTGAAAACTCATCTGGATGCTGTAAAACAAAAATTCACGTGTACCGAATGTGACGGTGAGTTCACGACTGAAGACCAACTCGACAGTCATGTTACCAGCCATTATCTATCAACTAGCACAGAATATGGATGTCAGTGTTGCTTAAAATTATTCAATAAGCCTGATGAACTTCAGAAACATCTAATGGATATTCACGCTCACCATTTATACAGATGCGCTCTCTGCAAAGAAATGTTCGATTCCAAAGTAAGCATTCAAGTGCATTTTGCTGTTAAGCATAGCAATGAATGTAGACTTTTCAAATGTACATCGTGCAATGCTGTCTTCCGCTCAGATGTTGAATTTCAGCTACACGTTAGAGTTTCGCATCTTTCTAAACTTCAACCATTTCGCTGTTTACTTTGTGATCAATGCTTTCCAACCGAACTTCAACTTCAATATCACGTGAGCACACACAAAAAACAATTCTCTTGTGTCTTATGTGGTGAGGCTTTTCACGTCGAATTTCTCCTGGATAAGCATATGCAAACAGTACATACAACGGATGTGGCCATGTTAAGTAGCTCCAGTAGAATGTCGAATGGTACGGCTGAAGTGGCACAAAATCTTAGTCTCAAATCACGTAATAGAAATGAAAATTCTTCAGATAGCGGCTCTAAGAAAGAAATCCGATGCGATATCTGCGATGCAAGTTTTCCCTCAGAATCTTCACTCAATTCTCATCGTCGACATATGCACAATATCCGTACGTCTGGCTCGCAAAAATCGGGACAGGCCACCTTAAGTTTGTTTTGTGCTTATTGTAACGAATCGTGCAAATCCCGAACAGAATTGGAAAATCACATGAAAGCACATACCGTAAGTCCAAGTAAACACAAATGCAATATCTGCGATGAACTCTGTCCGTCTGCATCTGTACTAGCAGAACACAAACTGACTCATTGTAAAGTAGTTTATGGCAGTACATGTGTGAATTGTCGAATGACTATGCAGAGTGAAGAGCAATTTTACACACACATTCAACAACATAATAACCATGGATTTCCGTTACCTTGTGTAGTCTGCAGGCAGACGTTGATATCCGAGGTCGAAGTTCGGCTTCACGCTAGATTTCATTTAAAAAATAATGAAAACTTATATTCTTGTTGCGTGTGTACACGACACTACGAAGTTAACCATCTAATTATTACTGGTAAGCAAGATGGCGTTCACACTTACATGTGCAAAGATTGTTTTCATAGCAAAACTGATGATTTACGGTGTCATGAATGCCACGTGAAATTCGAAAATTTGACAGAATTAGAAAAGCATAGAGTGACGCATCGTAAAACGTACCAATGCATCAAATGCCAGATGTCTTTCGATACAGAAGCCGAGATACAAATGCATGTGGCTACTCATGTTTTACAAGAAGGTACGTGCCATGAATGCAGATTATGCCACAAAGTATTAGACTCGCCTGCAAAACTTCAATGTCATTTAATTGAACATACGTTTGAGGGATGTTCCACGTACACTTGTTACATTTGCAGTTCTGTATTTACCACTCCTCATTTATTACAGATTCACATGTTGGATCACGGACTTACTGCAAGACCGTACGATTGCTCACGTTGTGTTCAGAAGTTTTTCTTTCGAGCGGAATTAGAAAATCATATTTTATTACATACGGAGTTCGAAGGTGCATCTGAGCAATATCAATGTACTGATTGTTCTAAAGTGTTCAACACGATTATTAATTTGAATAATCACAGAAAATTGCACGAACAAAAAGGAAATACCTACAAATGTTCTCTCTGTCCAGAAGTATTCCAGACGTCGTCTGATATGCAACAGCATCATTTTCGATGCCATAGTGATACCGATCTTCAAGAAGGTAAAAAATGCTTCCCGTGTACAGAGTGTGAGCAGGTGTTTCCATGTTTGAGCAATCTACAAGGACACATGAGAATTCATACGCAGGGAACTAAATTTACCTGTCCTCAATGTAATAAAGAATTTGCTTTATCGAGGAACCTAAATATTCATATGAGGTCTCATAGTGGGGAGAAACCATATGAATGTCCTATATGCAAAAAAAGATTTGCAAGAAAAGAAAATAGAAAGGCTCATCTAAAATCTCACACGGGATTGAAACCGTTTATGTGCCCTCATTGTGGAAAAACGTTTTCTCGAAAATGTCACGTGAAGGAACACATGAGGATTCATATTAGTTCCACTACTAATCCGTGCGAACTGTGTTCTGAATCATTTCCATCAATGAGACGATTGAGAAAACATATGATGGAAATTCATCAGAAACATTACGAACACATTTGTACTGTGTGCGGAGATATCTTCGAAACATTACAAAATTTGGATAGCCATTTACTGAAGAGTCACGATGTGACTATAGCACACGTGGATGATCCACCTCCAGATGATCTTTCCGAATCTTCACCTGGTCAAAGTTCGACCTCTGGAGATGCCAAAGACCTAGAAAGTAGTGAATGCAGTAGTCTTCCGGAAGAGGGTGACATGAGGGACTCTCCAGTTTCCGTAAACGAAGAAAGTGTTGCTGTGCCACCCCCAGAAGTTGCCGCGTGATTTATAAAAATGGTGCTAATATCTCGAAGCACGTTCAATGGCCTTTCTCTTTCCCATCTGTTGATATGGCCACTTAGATGAGCTTATAAAAAAAAAACTAGAAGATAGGCTATTTACATGTAAATAGTTTCGGGGTCATTTTTGTTATTTATAACAGTGTAAATAATGGTTGTTTTTCTACCGGAAAAGTTCTCCATCACGGTAACTGCCTTAATGTTTATTTATATAAATATATATAAAATATATACATACCTATTTATTTCCTAAATAACTCTGGGAGTTATTTAGACAGCTACATAAAAACAGGAGGAGGACAAAAAAATGTTTTCTGTTGAGTGCTGGCTTGGAGAAAGCACAGCATCTTTTGTGGACCTAACAAAAATAATATGCCAAACTCGTGGTTGATTGTGTGCGAGTTACAACAAAGTTTCTTGTGATACTGGTTATGGAAACTAACTATTAACATCGTTGTAATTATTATAGGTCTCGTTTCGGTTGTTAACTATTATTGAGACAAAAAAAAACCAAGGCTATGTGAAATATGGTTTTGTTATGTTCCATATACCAGTTTGCTATTGTAATTTCTTGTTTTTGTTTATTAGATTTTAAGACTTTTTTCTATATTTTTATGTGAGGGAGAACAAGGATTGTACCTCGTCTAGCGTGTTTATTTTTTCACCATTTATTTGTTTAGAAAATAAATAGAGGGTCCAAATAGACAATATAAAATTTAAAGAATGAGTGGTATACATTTTGTTCACGCGCTCTTCATTTCCTGAATTGTAAGACCTATATATATATAAATATATATATATATTTTAGCGGAAGGGAATAAAATTACTTTTTTTAACCTCTCTAATTTGAGTTACCTACAGATAAATGTCAATAGTTTCGAAAGATATGTGGGAAGATGTTGTTAATGTACAGGATATTTGACACTCAGGGTGGTAGCGGGGCTATATTTAATGGATGAAGGCTTCACACATTCGTTCTATGGGCTGTGGCCCGAACGAAGTAAATTGGGGTGTTCCTCCGGGGTCACCAAGCAAATTGAAGCTACTTACGTGTGGCAATCCTACAGTTGCCGCCCACTCCAGCTTACTGTGAATGTTAAGTACAGAGAAGCAAAACCCCAAGACTTCTCTCTACTCTTTCTCTATTAATTGTTTCGTCTCTACAAAATCACGTCTTTGTCGTTGTGCGTGACAAGAATCCAGAACATCATTCCGGTAAATAATTTAACAGGACAGTCAACCTTTGTTACTAATTTCTAAACGAATAAATTTTTCTACAGGAAAAAATAACTTAAAATATAGATAATTTATCAAATTCAAAAGATAGTAATTGAAATTCAATATAAGCTTTAACAAAAATATACTGAGAGCTATTTTAATAGATAAAAAATGATTTTTCGCTTCTACTAATCGATGCTGTAACAAGTTTCGGTTCATCCTTTAATAACTCTCATAAATAATCAAGAGTTAGAAAAAATTAATTTTCATTTCTCAACAGATAATTATTTAATACACATACTATTTAATTTTATAAAACTTTTACAGTTTTTATCGCTTTTTCTACTGCTTAACTTAAGTGTATTTACACTGCCTAACACAAAAAAACAAACCACAAAATAATTATTGTGTAACTTCATTACAGAAATTCCTTGGGAATTTTATAATTAATTTAAATTCTTGATAAATTTCAAGTTGAACGTAAAAGATCGTCCATTAAGATTCAATTTTTTTCCTTTAAAAAATTACCAAAAATGCCAACTTAAAATTTTGCCGTTAAAATGAATATAAAAATAATCATGCAAATAACAATCAAGAGAGATTTTTATTAGAAATAAAAGAAAAACTCCAAGCTATATATATATAACGAGCAAAAATTTATGAATCTCGAAGTTTGAGAACGTTTTTAAGGCTTCTATACATTTTCCTAATAGATTACCTGGAGGGTATGTTGAAAGCGGGCCTTAAGACAACTGATAAAGACGACAACGACTTTGCAAAGAATAAAATTCCAAGAATTCTCTTTTGTTTCAGAAGAGTGTAGAGTTACCAAATGGATTATCAAATCCATTATCTAGAAGGTAAGACGATCTCGTCATTTGACAACAAAAGAAAACAGACCAGGATATATTGTTTTCCTTTTCGTTAGACTATTTGGAATTAGAGCATTGTTTGGAAAATGGATTAAAAGCGCTGATTAAAAAGATAAAGTTGGTCAGGTTGTCCAACCGTGAAGACGTAGAAAGGAAATTGTCATTTCACTCCGATTAATAAATTTACGAAAAGTTAAGTCAATTGTTCATAATTTAAATCTACGGCCACCTAGAGGCAAAACGTGGAACTAATGGGTGCACTCTTCCTATTGATAAAATTACACAGTTGATCCTATTTCAACATTGACCTCGATATCTTTATGTAATTATCGGTGTCATCCTATAGATCATTAGCGTAGCGAAAGATAGAAAAACCAGTTCTTCATCTATTGGAAGTTTTAATCGATAGACCGTTCTGACATCATTGCGTCAACACAATAGTAGAGCTCTTCCCGACGTGAACAATCAATTAGAAATTAATAAGCGATACATCGACTATAGAAATATGGCGTTAAAATGGCGTGATGCTGTTACTCTTGTCATTGAAGATTTACCGAACTGATATATAGTTTAAATTTTATCTACGATAAGATGAAACATAAGCTACCATTCAAGTTTTTATCAGTTTATCTTAGCAGCTATTAATAATTTTTCGGTAGGGTATTCGATACAACAATTTACTCTTTTTGTTTGATAATTTATTCGAAATTCTCTATGATACGTCATTATATATGAAAGATCAAACATTTTCATATTTTTTGATTATTACATAATTATACTTTTCGCAACTTCTTTAGCAGCAGGTGTCGAGTTGACACATATTATTGATTGGATGCAGCCAATATAAAAATCGAAATTTTTCTAATTAATATTTTAACACAAGCGATTTTCATAATTTAAATCTAATATACATACATTTTAAATATATCTATCTTGACCTATTAACAAGTAAGGGCCTTATATAGGAGTTACACGCGACCCAGAAAGACATCATAAATATATCTCAAGCATACACGTGATGGATAGTGCCAGCCTGTAATACAAGAGGTTTACGCCCATGTATTGCACAGCAAAAAAAGGAACACGACACTCGAAAGAGGGAGGACGAAAGAATTAAAGATACCAACACCTGCCTTCTTCATCTTGGACGTTATTAATTAAGTGCGAGATAAATGCGAACCTATCTCACCTCTGTCAGGTCATACACCAGTTCAGACATACTGATTATAGACCCTCTTTTGTTCCTGTGGAGACAATAGTGGGTCTTGTACACAATTTCCCCAATGGTCTAGACTTATACGTATCACAGAGAAATATTATGTCGTAGTGACCTTTGCTCTTTTCTAAATTCTCCGAAGACTAAACGCATTTTAATATGCCACAGAATATGAATACACTGTACTAAAAAGTATTGTTTGTAGAATGACATCCCCTTTTTTTCATTCGACAATAAAGATTTGTTATGTTTTATTATTATAAAAATAAATCGAGGTTGACTTCTTTCTCGTCCTTAACATCGAATTATAAAACGACAGAATAAGCAACCTAATTTTTCACTCTAAATCTAATTTTTATTAACAAATCTATTTTTAATGCCAGTAACCTTATAAATATTAAAACGTTTCTTATTCTTTTTCTGAATAATGTTAACAATGTTATCTAAACATTATAATAAATTATAATAAAAAAAATAATAAATTTGCAAGTTGATCCTTAAGAAGATTCATATTTTAGATGCATTTATGATTAAAGAAAAACCTGAAATCCATCCAGAATTAGTAATGTTTACTAATATTCTTAGTCGGACGTCCTGTTAGGCGACAGAATGATTTAAATTAGATGATAGTCGGACAGTAGACAATAGTTGTCACGATCCATAAGGTGACAGGATATTTCTCGTCGACCCACCTTTAACACGTGACTAGATTGTATTGTAAGAGACACCCCCACATTGGACTATGCCAAAAGGCTTTTAGCTCTTCTACAATAATTTATTTCTTTGACGACGCAAATAATAAAAAAATAAATAAATAAAAATGGCATTTAGGAAGTGAATACTCTGTCATTTTTTCTAAACGTGAAACGACTGTCTAAGTAGTCATTGGTAGAAGAAAACCTTCATTAAAATTGTTACTGTTACAAATTATTTTACAAAAATAAAAAGAATGATACTTTCTTTGAAGTTTCCAGAAACTATATAAATAATTAATTATTTCAAGACGTGATTTTTTTTTCTTATTATTATTAGTTGAAACTCTACAATAAACCTTGTAATTTAAACATTTACATATTATTTATTGAAAAAAACAGCAGCTTAATTCATACTCANTATAATCGCAAAATTCAATAGTCAATTATCACATTAGATTCAAGCATTTCAAATACAGTACTATCTTTTCTACCAGCTAAATACTTTTATTGCCAAGGTTAAGTAAACATTGTTAAAAATAATTATATTGTTTATAGCTTTAGTTCTATATTTTTAAAGAGGCTTGCTAGTTTACTTTGATAATTAATCTTTCTGTTGGCGATTACTTAGAGTGAGTCCGAGTACATTTAAAGGTCTAAAACTGTTGTTAATTAGCCACGAAAATTAGAAAAAAAATCATAAAAATTAATAAAGTTTTTGTCGGAAAAAAGAAAACAGTTGTTAATTGACAGGATCTAATTAAATTGAAATGAAATTGTGAAATAATTTTTTGTGTAATAAAAAATATTCTTAGGCATTTAAAGAGGAAAGAATAGATAATTAAAACGGAAATCAATAACTTTTTCTTGAAGTTTTATTACCGTTTGCAATCCGTTTGTATTTTATGTAACATCTTTCTTCTTTTTATATCTAATGACAAACGATTGTTGAAACCTCTGAATGAATTAAAAACAAATTTCATCATTAATAAAGTTTTTAGATGATTACCGCGTTAATTTAAACAACTTTTCTTAATCGGAATTATAGTATCTATTGAATTTTTTTCTTCCTTTTTATCTACATTTCTTCCTTGTCGGTTACGGAAGAGAATAGAAAATTAAATTTTTTTTTCTCTTGTTTTATTTACCGACATAAAAGACTAACTCCTCATAAATCAATTGTAGAAATAATAAAGAGCTTTTATACTAAATGCACTAGTGAACTATTATAATTAAATTAATAAAAACGTAGTTTTATACTATTTAAAAAAAACCAATGGAAAATGAACTGAAAAGAAAAACTTTTGTTGCCTACGTTTCTCGGGTTAATAGAGATTTTTGTTCTTGTTTTACTGTCGAAGCGAAGCCAATTAACAGATCTGAAGAATTTTCACGCCTTTTGCAAGAACACTTGAGAAGAAAATTAAAGTTCTGGAAGAGTCGGATGACATCCGAGTTGAAGTTTCGCGATGCAGGTGTGAAGGGGTCAACCAACGATGTATCACGTGATGCGGAGGAAAATCACATCACAGGCAGGAAATGAAATCGGGTTTTGCCTAGAAGGACATTGAATACATGCGTTGATAATGCTCAAAGCTGTCTCCCGACCAATAGAATTTTAATGAAGCAGGATAGTCTTTTTTTTTTTCTTCTTCTTAGCTTCTTCTTAGCTTCGGCTCTTATAGCTCATGCCTGGATGATTATAATAAATATACTCGAGCAGGCTAATATTACAATATTTTTTCTGTGAAGCTCGAGCAATTTTATTATTTTATAACTGTCTTTATTCGG